GTGACAGGCAGGCAGCCCAGAGTGAGTTCTACTTTGCGGCAAACAGTGTCTCCGATGCTGTCTTAGTGTTTCCGTTTTCTAGACCAGATTCACACAGATAGCGTGCCAAGGTAGAACCAGGGTGAAAATGCATTTTTTAAATTAGTTATCTTTTTGAAAAATGCCTTTTTAAAGAAATTACTACAGAAATTGCTTGTGAGTGGCTCCGTGTATTTAAGTATACAGAAGTGCTCTAATTTTAAAGAGGTAAGCATGTGTTGAATGGGAACTTTTCTATAACAGTGTTACTTGGTAAAACATATTGAGACAGGAAGTGCTAACACTCAGTCTACATCTGCCAGCTGCATTATGTTACTCTTTAAGACCAGCCAGACCCACAGATGTCCTTCGGGTCTAGCAGGGAACTGGCCCCGAGGCTCAGCCAATAAAACCTCTCTCCCCTCCCAACCCCCCAAAACAAACAAATCAAGCTCACTGCCATCGAGGGGATGCTGACTCAGTGACCCCTAGCCATATGACAGGGTAGAAAGCCTCAACTTTCTCTCACTGAGCAGCTGGTGGATTTGAACTGCTGACCTTGTGGTAACAGCCCAACCTGTAACCCACTGCACCACCAGGAAATGACAGAGAAGCCCATGTGGCAAACACCAACACCAGGCAGGATCTCCTTAGAACCTTCAAGCCCCCGAGGCCACAAAGGCAGCCACGTGACAGGAGAAGGCTGGGGGTGGTCCCAAGAGGGCGTGCGGGCAGAGACGGGAAGAAGTGGGGCGAGGCCCGTGGTGTCTGCGCTGTTGATGGGGAACCAACGTGCTCTGCAAGCTCTCACCCAATCACAGTGGAAATGCAGGCTACAGAGAGCACTCTGTGCAGCGAAAGAGACCGCTGAGTCTAAGAAAATTCCTCCTAGGGCTTCTATCCATCGAGGGACTATCCTGCAAGAGCAAACACAAACAGTGCCTCTGTGTTCCACTGGAAATGCCGCTGCTGGAGTCCGTGCTAAGCCTTTGTCCTGGTAGATGCCACTGGAAATGAGGCAGAGGCAAACACCGAGGCTGGTCCAGGGACTGTCAGGGACAGGTGGGAAGGGGGCCTGTGGCTGCTCTGTGGCATCCCCAGGTACAGGTCTGACAGACACAGAAGGCCCGTCTCACTACATTCCCTCAGTGGCATCGAGCTGCTGCCCAAACCCTCTACTTCTCCGGGCCGCCGGTCTTTAATGAAAACGCCAGGCACTCCCACCGTGTGAGTACTTTTAATGCTGCAGGACATCGACGGTCACAGCAAGCCCAGCTTGTGCTCCACCATGCAGTGCGGCTCGCCCATGATCTCGCTCTGTGCAGGGTCTGAAAACACAGCAGTACCGGCTCTCAGAAGTGACCATCACAGAAAGCATGTTTGTGTATGAAAATCTCCAACAGACGCACTAACTCAAAGTGGCACAGACCAGGCCAGGGGCTGCCAAGGGACCAAGGCCACTGTCCAGGGTGCTGACAACACGCTCTGGCACCAGGAAGAAATGGGTCACACAGTTGCAGACAGCTGCGCATGCTCACCCTGTCCACTAAGTGGTGCACAGATGGCCAGGAAACCCTGTGGGAGCCCAGCCTGAGGCAGAAGGAAGCTACCACCACATGAAGGTGGGTGAGACCTGCTGGGACCACACAGAGCAAACCTTCCCCGAGCGCCGGGCCCACGCACACGCACACGCACACGTCATGGTCAAGAAGGGATGTGAATGAATGATGACCCTGGGTGAGTCCCGGGGACTGCGCCAGCACCTTCACTCTCAGACACCCTGAAGCCCAGCTCTGCCTGCTCCATCTCTGCTCCAGGCAAGGAGTGGGTACCAGGGACCCAATAGATGGGGCCTCTGTGGCTTCCTGGCACAGCTGGCTGAACCACACTCACCGTTGAGGATGTCTTCAAAGGCCAAGGTCTCATCGCTGCCCCTCAGGATGTCCAGTGAGAGGTTGGAGCTGGGCAGAAAGGGAAGGCGTTGGACCTTGGGAGGGTGAAAAGACAAGATGATTATCTGAGTTTCCTGTGTCTCATTTTTCATTTGTAAAATTCACACAACCCAAACTTGCTGCCATCGGATCGATTCCAACTCATGGAGACCCTATAGGGCAGGGTAGAACTGCCCTTTTGAGTTTCTGAGACTGAGAGTGGAAAGCCCCGTCTTTCTCCTGAGCAGCAGTTGGTGGGTTTGAACCGCAGACCTTGGAGTTCGCAGGAAAGGCGTAACCACTGTACCACCAAGGCTCCTTAGATTCCATGGCTCCATGAACCACGTGAAGACCCCGGGTCACCAGTTAATGAGCGTCAACAAAAATGCAGGTCACCTTTTGGACACAAATGTGAAGATGTGCAGACGCTTCCTGGAGCGCATCTCCTGTGCACCCACTGAGAGGTCTGCCGTGGCACATGCCAGGTGATGGCACCCTCTCCCAGGGCCTCCTGATGTGTGTATGAGGCTCGGGGTCCAGGAACAGACCCACTTCTGGGGCACCCACTCAGCTCTCACTGACCCACCGCTGTGTTTTCCCACAAGTCACAGCACACAGAAGGACTGGCAAGAGCGGCTCCGGCCGGCACCTGTGCCCTCAGGGGCACCAGCTATTTGGTGGAGGAGCCTGGATAGAGGCCAGCAGTCCCCAGGGAAGTGGAAAACGAAACAAACGATGTTTTATTTCAGGGCGATGACTACTGCACTGAACAGCTCAATAAGAGGCTCTCATCAGTGCATCTTAGGGGAACCCGGGAGGGCTGCTGTTTAAACAGCTGAACCACATCTTCAGTGTCATTGAGTGAAGTCAGCGACATGTCAGACACACCTAAGCAACCGCCACAGCACACCTACGACGGGGGAGGGGGGCTTGAAAATCACCTAACATGCAACTCCTCTGGTGTGACAACACAGAAACAGGCCCTCTAAAACAGAAGCAGTCACCAGACACATCTCTGAGATGGAGAAACACAAGTGACTTCATGTCACTTCTTTCCAAGTCCTGCACACCAGCTCCACACCACCTCCCTGCCGTGCAGTCAGCGCTGACTCAGCGCTCCGTGCGCTGAGACTGAGACTGCTCACGGGAGAAGGAAGCCCGGTCTTTCTTCCTTGGAGCTGCTGGTGGTTTCAAACTGCTGGCCATGCGCATCGCAGCCCAACATGGAACCACACCGCCAGGCACACCACACAGAGGTAGGTACATCTTTTTCTTTTTTTTTTTGAGGGGGGGCGGGTGTTCTGCAAAATGCACCATGATATGCTTTGGGAAGGTGCTGAAAAAGGAGAATTCAGAGACATGGGAATTTCCCCTGTCTTTTCTGAGCTCCCTGGTGTAACGGGGCCTGCACAGTTGGCTGAGCCAGATCTGGCAGGCGCAGTCACCAGCTGCAAGTCCTCTGCCTCAGTCCTCCACCTGTACAGCATCACCGCCAGGTCAGAGGAGAGACCGTGCCCGGCCGTCACTGTCACCACGCCACATCCCAGGGGGCCCTGCTCTCTGACAACTGGATCCAGGGATCACTGTTAGAATCCAGAAAGATCATTTCGGATCTTGTCAGAAGAGCACCAAGAGTGCTCTTGACCACTAGGTGGTCAATGACCCAATGACCAAACCGATGGCCAGTGACCCTGACCCACAGGGGCCTGTGGAGAACCATGGGCTGTCAATCTGCATGGATGAGACGGAGCATCCATGGAACCCACGGAGCGGCTGGTGGTTCCAACCACAGACCTGAGGGCCCGCCGCACACCGTGTTTTATCCACAGCACCAGCAGGGAGCCTCCCACTCAACGGCACTAGTAGTTCAGACCGTGCGGTGGCACTAGGGTAAAGGCTCGGGCACTAACCTGCCACATGCTCCGAGGGAGGGAGGGAGGGGAGGCCACTTGCTCGGGGACAGTCCTGCTGTCCTATAGGGCTGCTCTGAGCTGGACCTGACTTGGGGGTCTGGGGGGTTTTGAATCTGAGGGCACATTGACGCTCACCTTTTTCTCCCTAAAATATGTCTAAGACTCAAAGGATGTAACTTTCAGTTATAATGACCTTTCGAGTTATTTAAATCTTTACTGTGGAAAATTCTCCCTTTAGACTGTCAAGGTTGAAAAACAGTCTGGGTGGAGAGGACAGAGGAAGAGGAAGACACAGAAATAGCAGCTCACAAGGCAGGCCAGGAATAGCCGGGGCTAGTGGTTGGGGGACCAGAAGAGCAGTTCGGAGAAGGGTCCGGAACCAGCCAGAGGGTCACAGACATGGGCAGGGCAGGTGGCTGGCAGAGGATCTGATTCTGGGCCAAGACTGGTGGTGCGAATGAATGTGAAGTTCAGGTTCAAGTTTCCAGCGACATGTAGTTGGGCCCCGTACCAGACCCAACCACTGCCACTAAACAATTTCCAGCTCACAACCTCCCTGGAGGCCAGAGTGGGACCGTCAGGCCCTGTGGGTGCACAGGCATCAGTCTTTACGAGGAGCCTCACTGCTCCCCTCCTACCACCAAAAGCTCACAGCCAGCAGTCCAACACTTACCTCTCAGCACCCCAGAGCGCCTAGAGCAAGACAAGAGCATGAAGACCAGAGACGGACTTGGTGCCAGGCACACACGGCTGCACTTAGCCTTCAGGAGAGTCCTCGTAACCCTCCCTGCTCTTCTCACAATCCCACTTCACACTGAGCCCCGGGAGCCCAACTGGGCTGTGAAGTTCTGGGCTGGAGGTGTGGAGAACACTGCTCAGCTGTGAAGCTGTGTGCTTGCAGGCAGCAGCCCAACACCAAAGTCACTGGGCCTCCAGGGCTCTTGCCATCAATTCAGTACCCCGTTCAATGTGACAGGCTAACATCAAGGTGCCGTCAGGCTGTAAAGGCGGCTGCTCAGTCAACAAGCACTCACTGGGAGGCAGAGGCTGCTCCAGAGGTCCAGGTGCCTGTGTGCTGCTGACAGGCCCAGCGAGCAAAGGCCAAGGAGGGGATCCGGGGTCAAGGATCAGACATGCCAAGAGGCGCACACAGGTAGGGCCCGGCTCTCACAGCTGTGGGAGGACACTGTCCAAGGTCATATTCTAGAACAACGTGTGTTCCCCTCAGTGCTCGTGGGGCGTTGAGACCTGGAGGCAGCCCTACCCCCAGGAGAGAACCACACAGGGAGGAACGGGTGACTTTCCAGGATGCGAGCCTGGGTGGGGAAGGGGTTTCTGGCTCTAAGGACAGGCCAAGGTCACAGCACACTGAGGAGGGGGAGCGTGGGGTGGTCCAGGGAGGGTCAGCAAAGCCAGCCTCCCGTGGCACAAGCACAGACCCACCTGCTGCACTGCCTTGAACTCCATCTGCAGTTTGAGGGGCGCAAACAGGCCCTGGATGTTCCTCAGGGTGGAGAAGTTCATCTTGTCCTGGTTGAGCTGGAACTACAGAAGACAGCCATGGGACACAGGGACTCCGCCACCCCCTTCCCCCGGTTAGCCTGGCGCTGAGGTGAAGGGCTGTTACATCTCACTGCCAGGCACCTCTCCTCCTCCCGAAACCCCGGCACACAAGCACTGCCTCTAGGCAGTCAGCAGCCATCACGGGGCCTAGGCTCGCAGGGACCCTGGGTCCAGTGACCCCCAGCACAGGCGCGGCTGCTACACACGGGAACCGTGATCGGCATCACTCGGCTCCATGTGAGGACAAAAACCAGGACACCCATGCGAAGGGCACACTTACATTTTTTTCTGATAATTCAAGAGGATGGCTGGGCAAAAGCTCATTTTTCACACAAGAAAAGCTGAAAGGAAACATTGAAAAGGTGAGGTTAATACATACATGCATGGATTTGGGGCTCGCACTTAATCCCCCAAGTAAGAACAATTAGTTCTTATGGCACGGCCCTGCCTGATGCTCACCCTCAAAGAGACCACTGAAGACGGGTGCTACAGCAGTGAAGAAACTAGATGGGGTCTTATAGCCCGGGGTCTTAAAAGGCTTGTCTTCAAACAGGCAGCCATCTATGCGAGGTGTCAACTAAGTCCACATGGAAGCAGCACACCAGCCTATGTGATCCAAGGATTGTATATGATGAAATCCGAATCCAAAGGAGGGAATGGTATCAGAGCTTAAATTGTGAACACCTGGTTTGCAGAAGGCTATGGGTGACAGTGGCAGTGGAAACCCAAAATCTATGTGCAGGGTCCCCACATGGCTTAAGCCTCGGTGGACACCCTCTGACCACAGTGGAGGGACATGAATAGCCTTGCTATCAGACAGAGAGCACTGTAAAGTCAATGATGGCAGATGTACTCTTGACTGCGATGCGCTACACCCACTGCCACCGAGTTGAGACCACTCTGACATCCCCAGGGACACACTGTGGGGTTGCTCCAGCATCACATTTACTACAGAAGCTGGCTGCCTCCTCTTCCTCCCGTGCAGCGGCTACTGGGTTCCAACAGCTGGCCCCTCAGTTAGCAGCCAGGTGCCTAAGCACTGAGCCACCAGAGGCAGTGTCTCTCAAAGCGAGGCGAATACTGCAACAGTCAGTGAGCTAAGGGGACACAGGGCAGTGGCAGCCCACCCACTCCTACTGGCAGGCACCATCTCCTTGGGTGCCCTGACGCAGTAAGAGGCTTGGTCCCAGAAGCTGCCGAGGCGCCTGCCCCCTTCCTGGCCCTTGCAGCGTTTCTTACTAGCACCCACATGCAATGCGCATTTATGACCTGACAGAGGATTTAAAGACCCCTCAGGAGGGGGAAATATAGCTCCACACCCATTTCCCTGGAACCCGGTCACAACTGGTCCCCCGAGTACGTACCCTTTCCGCAGAAGGTCATGACTCTCAAATGGTCCGCTGGCAGAGAGTTCAGTAACCGGGATGCTGTCTTTCAGCTGAGACCCGAGTCCTCTGGCATTCTGTAACACCAACAGCAACCTGTGAGGCCCCTCGCTTATCCCCAAACCAAACACCACACCCAACTCACACCAAACCCAGACAGGAGAGGAGGAGATGGACTGTTTCCGCCATTCCAGAGCCAGCAGTCTCACTGCCATCCAGTCAATTCCAACTCAGAGACCCTATAGGCCTGAACAGAACTGCCCTGTGGGTTTTCAAACTGTAACTCTTTACGGTAGAAAGCCTTGTTTTTCTCCCTCGAAGCAGCTGGTGGTTTGGAACTGCTGACCTTGTGGCATGCAGCCCAATGCATAACCCACCACAGAACCAGGCTGGACAACTCTAACGGACCTTAACCATGAGATGGCCCTGGTGGCGCAGTGGGTTAGGCACTGGGCTGTGAACACAAAGTTGGTGGTTCAGGCCCACCAGCCACTCCTCAGGAGAAAAAGGGGCAGCCGGCCCCCATAAAGATTCATAGTATCAAAGCCCCTGTAGGGTCACAATGAGTCTGAGCCATGGGCCCATGCGCTCCTCTGACCTGAACCGTCCTTTCCAAGGGAACTCCTGGTACTTCCCAACAGTCTCCTAGTGCTTTGCTTCCCTGTCCATCATCTAAGCACTCTGAGCTCTGAGTCCTCATGGATCACTCCTCGGACATCCTTCTGTGACATGTCCACGTGTCTAATTAAGAGGTGCAGAAAAAAACCCATCCCCGCCCTCTAGTCTAAGGGGACCAGATTTTAACATTGCAAAAGTGGGACACCAATGATAAAACTCGTATCCTGGCAAAATAGCCACATGGCAGCCGAAAATCGTATACCCTAGCTTGTCGTGCATTCTTTCCAAAAATCGGGACTTTTTAAAAACACCGCGGGACTAGGGAAAAATTGTTAAAAATCGGGACTGTCCCGCCAAAAGCGGGACGTCTGGTCACTACGCTCTAGTCAATAGCATATCAAGTGGGGTGAAACAAAACCAAACCACTCCCACTACCCGAGAGGATCCCGCGACCCTACACGGGGTTTCCAAGGCTGTCTGTCTTTCAGGGAGCAGCCAGCCTCCCTCTTGCCTATGGAGTAGCCGGGGGGTTTGATCTGCTGACCCTGCAGTGAGCAGCCCAGCACCTAACCCACAGTGCCACCAGGGCTCCTTAACTTGGGTGAAAGAGAAGGCAATATACAGTTAGAGAGGAGGTCAGGAAAAACAAGCCCCCACATCTGTGAGCACCCCGGCAGCGGCCCACTGGAAAGTGTGTCTACGGCTCTTCGCCATGATGGGCAGTACTGACCAGCCTTCTGGGCTGGACGAACTGCAGTGACCCCTCCCCCAGCTGTCACCTTTCCAGGAGCCTGAGGGGAGCAGGCAGCCATTGTCTTCCCCTGAGTCCTTTGGGAGGTCCCAATGGCCAGAATGAGAGCTTAACCACTGAGTTCCAAGGGCAGCATATCAAGTGGGGTCCCTATGTCCACGGTGACCCAGGAGTCTGACCCAATCGCAGCAGCTTTTTAACTCTTTCTGGTTTTAAGTTTGTTTGGGGTCAAGTACAGCGTAGTGGTTTATGCGCTGGGCTGCTAGCACAAGGTCAGCAGTCTGATACCACCCGAAGGGGCTTTCTAGTCCCGTCAACAGGTACAGTCTCGGAAACTCACAAGGGCAGTTCTAACCGGTCCTATAGGGTCGCAAGGAGTTGGCAGGCACTCGAAGGCAGGGAGACGGTAAAATAAAACATGACCCTGGCACTACTGACACGGGGGGCAGGCAGGAACTGGGAGAATTGTGTCTTTCCCACGCCAGGAGCCAGAACACCACGGAGGCCTCCCGCTGATCTGACCCGTGGCGACCCTGTGGGGGCAGACCGGAACGGCCCCACCAGGTTCCGGGCCAGCCTTTCCGCCGGCGGATCGCCAGGTCTCTCTCCCGCGGTGCAGACGGTGGGCCGCTGCCCAGCGCTAAACCCGCCACGCCACTAGGGCCGCCTGCATGCTTGTGCAGCTGAGTCACCGCAGCGCGGCCTACGCTTGGGGGGGGGGGCGGATTAGGAAGGCGCTTCCACGACCCGCTCCCACCCGGAAGCCCCCTCATTTCCGCAACTCGGCCCTTTCGGTTCGTCTCCGGGGGCCGCGACGGGCGACGGCAGCCACCGCCCGGCCGAGAACCCCTCGGCCTCCTGCAGCCCCCCGGGCCGGACGGGGCGACACTCGGGCCCCGGGAAGCCCAGGCGAGCGGCGCTCACTCACCATCTTGAAGCCGCTCGGCGCGCCGCTTCTCAGCCCAGTCACCTTCCGCCGGCCCGGCCGCTCACTTCCGCTTCCGGGGCCGACACCCCCCACATCCGCCGGAAGTGCGTCTGTCCGGCGACGCTGGAAAGCGGGCGGGGCTGGCGCTCCCACGCTTGGGGCCGCCGGGGACCCGTGGCCGAGGGCGCGCCGAGCCGGGGGGCGTGGGGGAGGGGGCGGGCTCTGGTCCCCAAACGCCGCCACGTGCGCGGACTGCTCTGCCTTCCGGAAACACCACACTCAACGCCGTCGAGTCCGGAGCCACCCTATAGGGCCCTGTAAGACCAGGGGGCCCTGCCCCGTGAGTTTCGGAAACTGCACGGGAGTAGAAAGCCTCGTCTCCCGCCTGAGGTCCTGGTGGTCCCGAACTGCCTGTGCAGAGCAGCCCAAAGCAGAACCACGCCCTAGGCTGTGATTTACCAAAGCAAGACCCCGGGGAGGCCGGTTGTCAAAGCGGCCGCGATTGGAACTGGGCGTCTATTCGGACGCGTGGCAACGCACGTGGCCTTACTGAGTGCCCGGCTCCGCCTAGGAGAGGTCCTGCCATTCCCACTTGGCATAAAGGACCGCTGGGCGATTGCCTGCGGTGGCTCGGTTTGGGGCAAAACTGGGACCCCAGGGATTGATCGTTTTTGTTTTATAATGATCAGACACCCAAGGCCCGCTGTGTTCAGGACCCTGCACTGAAGCTAAGACTACAGAGTGGAGCCGGGCTAGAGAGAAACTTAAGGGCGCCATCTGACAGCTAATTAAGAGCAGTACGATTCTGACATAATATATTGAACTCATAGCTTCCCCTGCTTGATTATTATTTTAGCTTTTCATTGTGAAGTAGGGAGCCCTGGTGGCTACTAACCAAAAGGTCAGCTGTTCAAAACCACCAGCTGCTCAGCAGGAGAAAGAGGAGGCTTTCTGCTCCTGTAAAGAGTTACAGTACTACCCTGCCCTTGAGGGTTGCCATGGGCAGCATGGGTGAGGTTGGCTCTGATTTGGTGCAGAGCAGGTCATTAGTTTTACATTGAACAATGTTATGTGTCACACACACACACACACACACGCACGTATGGTTCTCCTTTTCACCCGTCCTTTCCCAACCCACGGAACTCTGGGTAAAGGCTGCCCTTTGGGTTTGAAATGATGCTAGACTCTTTTTTTTAAGTATCATTGAGTTATTACCCCAGTTTCACAGGTGAGAAACCAAGACATAAAGAAATGAACGACATCCCAGGGCTCAGCCTGAGGCCTTCAACGATGGCTGTAACCAGTATGTTCCCTTGCCTTCCAGACACATGGTGTTGTTGGGTGTCTGTTGATTCCAGCTCATCAGTGACCCCATGTGACAGAAGAATGACTCTCTAGGGCAGTGGTTCTCAACCTGTGGGCCGAAACCCCTTTGGGGGTCCCACGACCCTTTCACAGGGGTTACCCGATTCATAACAGTAGCAAAATGACAGTGATGAAGTAACGTGAGGAACTGCATTAAACGGTCGTGGCATTGGGAAGGTTGAGAACCACTGCTCTAGGGTTTTCTAGGCTCTACTCAGAAGAGCCCCCAAGCCTTTCTTGACAGAATTGCCCCCTTCCAATCTCCCAACTTTGGGTTGTGGCCAAGCGCATAATAGTTTACCCATCAAGCCAACACCAAGCCTGATGCCGGTGGTTTCTTAAGCAGGGAGAAAGAACATGGAATGCAAATAGGCACACACAGACACAGACTCACAGAGACAGACAATACAGGGCTGCAGCACAAATTAGACACCAACAGAGACGGTACAAAACTGCAGCCTTGACAGCCCGCAGTGCTTTATTATTTACTAAATACTGGCAGTGTTCCCAGACAAGTTTGCTATTCTCACACTTGAATTTCTCATAGCCTTGAGAGTGAGTTCCGTATCTCGGCCCACACTGATCTTTTCATTTCTATCAGGCAAACACTTGTTTGTAGCTGTTTCCACAAATCATCTTATTGTTTGCAGTAAGGATGCTGTTTATGAGAACCAACTAGGACAGACGTTTGCGTACTGCCCTAGACAGATACATGACACGAGACACAGTGCTCCTCTCATGACTCCTTCAAAGCCTACTACCATGAGTCAGCCGCCTGGGTTTAGAGGGCCGTGTGCCGACCCTGCAGGTGGGGGCATAAAGCTGTCCCGGCCCTGTGGGAAGCCGGGAGGAGCTGCAGCTTCCTCAACAACCAGGCAAAGACATTCCACTGGAGCCAACAATCCCTCTACTGCAGCAGTTCTCAACCTGTGGGTCGTGACCCCTTTGGGGGGGGGGCGAACGATTCTTTCACAAGGTCGCCTAAGATCATTGGAAAACATATTTTTTATGGTCTTTAGGAACCGAGACACCAGTGTAGACAGAGGGTTCTGATCAGGGCCAGGACTCTGCGTTCACTATTGATGCAGTATTGATTCAGATGTGGTATTGACACAGAGACTGCAGTCTGGCTCAGGATTCAATCTCTGGTTTCTGCACATGGCTGACTTCTCTGGATGGGGAAGAAAACCACAGTCTTCCCATGGATTCAAGCCCCACCTCCAGCCACCTCCCCCTGACTCACGGCCATCAAGTCCCTGACTCGTACTCAGTAGAACTGCTCCATGGGGTTTCTGAGGCTGTAACTCTTGACGGAAGCAGACAGCCTCAGCTTTCTCCCTCAGAGCAGATGGTGGTTTTGAACTGCTGACCTCATGATTAGCAGCTCAATACCTCACTCACAGCACCACCAGGCCTCCTCACGATAGAGACAGCCCAGCCTTCTTGGTGGGTCACAGCCGTGGGCGTTTTTAACCCATCAGTGCGGTCAGATGTTGAGACAAGGCGGACCCACCCAGCAGCCGCTGCTGCCCAGATGAGGGCTGTGGCCCGGGCTGTAGGAAGACCCTCTGCATTCCACTGTGTCCTTGCCCTGAAAGTGTGAGGAAGTTGGGGGGGGCTCCACCATCCCCTTTGTCCAGACACGGGCCGCCACTACTCTCAGGGTGCAGGGACAAGTCAGGGCTCAGATGATCCTCCTGGGACAGCAGGTCCCCACGGCTGGCCTCCACAGGGCCGTGAAGGAGGGGGCAGCACGGAGTGGGTTTTCCTTAAAAGAAAGCCACACCGGAAATTGCCTGGTTTCCTCAGCACCCGGGTTCACACAGGACCGAACACTTGGTGGCCGTGAGTGTCTAACTTTAGTTCCTAAGAACAAAGAGCCCGTCACAGCTGGTCAGGAAAGACCTAGACAAGCTCTTATCTAGTGTTTCATCTGGATCTCACACATGAAAAGCCTCGGAGAGCCCCACTCGGGCCATCGAGGGATGGGTGGGAGCCACGACTGCCCGGCACTGGTTAGTAACCAGGCAGTTCAGGAAGTGACTACAAAGAACTTTGCCAAAAGAGATGGTTTTGTTAGCAGCTGCCCCGTTGGGCCCAGATGCCTGGAACCC